TCATATTTTACTCTTTTTCGCCTATTTTTCCGCACGTTTTCCCACTACGCAGTGTAATAGAATAGAAATTTCGGAGCATCCTGATTTCGTCCAAGTAGACGAATACCAGCTGATTGCACAAACTATCAAGAAAATACAACGAGGAAGACAAATTTTCACGAAATGAATATTAGTGGAAACCGAATCATACGCGTATCCGAAATGTATATGAGAACCTCTACGAAAGTGCTCTTGACATACCACAATTTCAACAAAAATAATTTGAGAAGTAGTAGCCTATTACCAACACTAGCCTCGCAGTCAGTGGACATGGTTAATGTACTTTTAGGGGCGGACCAGAGGCCCAGTCGGGCCAAGACAGCGCTTTCGTTAACCCTCTTGGAGGCCGCTAGGCATACAAGTACTGTATGGAAGGGAGAGGCATCGGTGTTGAGGTCGTATACCTGAGGATAGAATCGAACCCACGACCTCTCGGATGGAAAACAAAGGCTATAACTACTATACCAATTTATCGGTATAAACACACCCTATGATGGGCGAAGATGGACTAGTGAATCAAAGGAGTTTTGGTACTATAAAAGTGACGGGAAATATGTGACCAGTACTTGTATGGTTTGACTACTTATCACGCCAACAGTGATGGAGGAATATATGATCGCTTTCCTCAGCTGAGCTGTGAAGTTTCCCCGAAAATCACATACGAATACGGGTAGAAGAGAACAGAAACCACTGAGAAATCCCCCAAATTTTTCCAAGCGTTTTCATATAGTCACCAACACATGTAGTTGACCATGTGCAACTCCTCCTCCTCCGGAATGCGCTCAAAGGGAGTACAAAGCACGAACCCCGGTCGGTCCAAGCAAACACGATACGTAACGTAGTAATTTTCCCATAGTGAACTGTGAAAAAACCTTCCCTATGAACGTACACCACGGCTGATCGTTTTTCCCATAAGGCATTTGAAATCTATACAAGATGCAGGTTAAATCGAAGAGTGTTGGAGAATATGTTAGGTTTCCTCACTAAGCTGCAATGTAAGGAAAAAGTGTATGAAAACCAACGAGGAATTGCCAAAATTTTATCAGAATTTTCACATTGTCACCACCACATGTAGTTGACCATGCACTCACTGGAATCAAATCTCCGACAAAAAATCATACTAAAATGCGTTTCAGCAATCGATGGAGTTAATTTTATAATAATATGGAAGTTTCAATTCCGTGAAAAAAGGTGATATTATTCGCGGTGATATGCAGTAGTCGTGAAATATGTTTTTCATATCACTAGGGTGGTGAAACTCCATGTGAAAAACGCGATATTCGCGGTGTTATGCAGTAGTCGTGAAATAGGTTTTTCATATCACTAGGGTGGTGAAACTCCAATGAAGGAATGTGTACGAGTACTACCATGCATTTAAGATCGAGAGAATCAGAATTCTCAGTGGTATCATAAGCAGCTCCCTCCTCATCGAGTTTGGCTAATATATCATCGTGTGTGACCAACACATGGTGATGACTGGTAGTTGACGCTGTTGAGGACGTTGGGCTCATACAAGAAACAGACATAAACAAACTACTCTATGGAAGGGGTGTCCCGTCGTGCAGTGTTGGAGTTGGAATATATGTAAACGCTTTCCTCAGCTACTGAGCTCAGGAGTTTCCTATACAGTGTTGGAGTAGGAATATATGTTAGCTTTCCTCAGCTACTGAGCTCAGGAGTTTCCTCCTATACAGTGTTGGAGTTGGAATATATGTCCGCTTTCCTCAGCTACTGGCCTCAGGAGTTTCCTCACTGATTATAGCAATTCGGGTAGGAGTGTACAGAAACCGATGAGAATTTCCCAAAAATTTCCTCGGAATTTCCATATTGTCACCAACACATGTAGTTACAGATGTGCATATTCTCCCACACGGTGTTCGCCTAATATCAGTAGGTTTCATATAAGTCTCCTGATCGCTTCCAGACTTAGATTTCACGGGTGTAAAACTCGATCCTGGGACTGCGCTTGAAACTCAGATCTCTAGTCAACACTCCGTATATACTGAAAGCTGTTGAGATTGGTGATCAAGACGCTTGCATGGACATGATTTCGATGCAAGAGGACAGACGATTGTAGTTTGTGATAATACACAATCGTTATGCTACCTTGGCTAAGTCAATTCAATTGTTTTTTTTGAGAAGTGTAATGAAATCTCGCTACGCCCCCGAGATGTGGGGACCATCTGAGAAACGGCTTATAGGAGAGCTCGGGTTTAGGAACACGCTTGATGCTAGGCTGAGGTGGCAGTTCAGAGTTTTCTCTGTGTGCGGCGAACGACGTCAAGCTGCTTGACACTGGAAGTAATGACTTGACACCGTTACAAAGGGAGTAATCATTCGGATAGGCGGTAGTTCAGGGGGGAGTGGTATGAATTTATGGAGACAACGGGCAGCGCTGATACGAGATGCTGGAGTATTACCGCCGAGTGATGTGGAGAATTTCGAGTGATTTGCTCTTGTTGTAACATGGTCAAATGACACGTTGTGGTTTCTGTGGAATAAGCCTGTTGATTTTCGGCAGTTTGGGAGACGGACGTTGACGAGTCAATAGCATACGTCCATCGCATCATAAACTCGTCGTATTCAGAAGCTAGGTTGCTATCAAGTTAGATTTCGACGGTAAACGAGGTGATGAGTAACTCTGAGTTACTCAAGTTGACCATTTATAGCTGTTGGTTGTTCATTTTCCGTATTATGTTCAAGTCCTTCACAGAGAGCGATATCTCCACGCAGAATCAAGCAAAATCATCAGTGGCTCGCGGAGTAAAGTCCGATGTCGTTGAGAACTACCCCCGAATGGAAGAATGCGCTCCTGGGCTCTTCCCAAAGAAAGCTCAGAATGTTCTGGTGAAGTGGTAAGATATGGGCTATAACTCGATTATCTTGAGCGTTGGAGAGCGTTTTTTGTGGAGACAGAATTATACACGTTTGACGTGGTAGATTATACGAGTCACAAGTGAAACGTTCATCAACCTTAACCAAACAAACAGCGTCAGGGAGCGTAACACAATGCAGTTGTAGTTGAATTAAAATAGTGTATATTATGTCCAGTAC